TACATATATGTATACAGTTTTTCTTTTGAAACTAATATATATTTATATTCATTTATATGTGATATTTTCTTTATTTTCATCATTATTTTTATTTTCTTTTGAATTTTGTAACAGTTTCCCTTCCATTTTTTTGCGTAGGGAATTGTAGGGATTTTATATAACGTCGATAGGGATAAATGGAAATTTGGTTTTAACAACACTGGCCGACGGGCATTCGCTCGGCCTTGTCCACGTCGGCGCGGGATCAGGCCGGCATGTCGTGCGACGTGCTGCCGGCGGGCTCGTCACCCAATAAATTCCTATTACTCATAGTTACATAGTCCCACGTATCGATTATCGTCCATCTTTGGGAGAGATGCGATTATATTAGACGGAAACATAATTGTAATTTTCGAATGTTTTACAAAATGTATTACAGAACTGCAGGCGAGTGTGCCAATTTATTTTTTCTCCGATTGTAAATAAATCGTACGTACACGTGCGGACAAGATAAATGAAAACTTTCAGGCAGGAAATGGAATTTCTCTTCGGAGGTACCTGGTATATATAGTAGATGCGCGAGAGACGTTGCCAAATTTAAGGTCGGCGATATGCTCGTGAAACGGATAATATCTGAAATCCTGTTAGTTAAACAGCGACCGAAATCGTGTATAACATTGATCGCGAGTGCCCGAGAGCGAGTCTCGCATAACCGACGTGTAACGCCACGGTGTGTCGTCGGTTAAGGTTCAAGGACGATAATCGAGGGAACTTTGCGCGGACAAGTTCCCGCAAGGTTCTCTCTCTCTCTTTCTCTCCCTTCTCTCTCTTCCTCTCTCGTCCCTCGGCTCTATCTCGGCGAAAAACTCAATTAAGTGAATCGCGGATGCCGATAAACGATGCGGATTCTCTCCCGTTAGTGCGCTCTCCCCGGGGAGGACGCACATACATATACATTTGACGCGATATTCAATTTGCGGGCCGATGGACCACGCCACGGGTAATACGAGAGCGCGCGATTTATTTATCTAAACGCGAGTAGCTGCTATTCCGCCGGACTTATAAACGTCTTTTCCCTCTCGCGTTTATCTCCCCGTTAAAAACGGGATGAGATAAACCGCGCGGAAAAATGTCGGTGTGCACCTCGTGCACACGGATCGTGCGCGTAGCCCGTTGTCGGCCAGGGAGGAGAGAGAGAGAGAGAGAAGAGAAGAAAGAGCGTTATACGATCCACCTAGGTCGGTGCACTTTGACCCGTTCGACATTCGCGAGGAAAATCATATATTGCCCCGTGGACGTTTATTTCGCCAGATCTTGACTCGCCGTACGTTAGAGAGAGAGGAACGCTCGATCGTATCCATCCGTGTTGACGCGTTTTGCGATAAAATTAAGTACGAAATCGGATGGAAGATTCGCGATCGCGATTATGTATGTATGTCTACAACAAATCGTTTGGCGCAGCGTTCTGTTTTCTCGAGTTGGAGATATAGCTGCGGGGGATTCGCACCCCCAACGTCGACGCGCCAAGCGATAAGCCAAAGACACGGGCTTCCACGGTTTTTCCGGTCAACCCTACGAGATTCCGGGATTCGCCCGCGTCCGGGAAATCGGTAGAGAACGCGCGGGCCGTTCGGCGTGGAGGGACGAACGGTGGCGGTTTCCACGGGGAAACTTCACGAAGGTTCGAGCGAGGATGCACGAACGGAGGGGGTTGCGTGGCGTACAAAACATACAATCGAGGACGGGAGTGCACGCATCCGTAGCGCCGAAGAAGCCGAGGAACGAACGCAACGTTCGTTCGTTCGCTCGGTCGTTGGCTCGCTCGCTCGCTCGCTCCCTCACGTTATATTACGTTGCGTTACATTGCGGCGCGGTGTGCCGCTCCGCCGCGCCGGTAGGTGCGCTAGCGCCTATGCGCCGCGCTCGATGGTGGGGAGGGGTGGCGCGTACCACGTGACCCGGCCGGCCAATCGGCCGCGCGCATAGCCGGCGTCCGGCACATGGCGGCGCGCCGGCTTCGACAGTCGCAGTCGCAGTACGTCGCAGTCAGTCGCAGTGGTAACACGAGCGAGAGGGTAGTTGCACGCGCCTGCCTTCGAAAGGAAAGATCGCGGTGAAGAGAGGCGAGAACGAGAGTGTTGAGAAGAGAGCCGAGGGAGCGAGGCGGAGAGGATTTACTTGGAGAAAGAGAAAGAAGGGAGAGCGGAAACGGAGAAGCGGACGAGGAACGCGCGCGCGCCCCTTGCATCCGTTTTTACAGTGTTTCGGTCTCGCGCGACGGATCGACCTCTCGGACTCGGCCGCGAGTCAGTCAGTCGGCCGGTGACAAGGCAGCCGAGCAACGCGCGACACGAATCGTCGTTACGTCCGGTAGTCGGGGAGAGAGAGAGAGAAACAGATCGCGACGGTGAAGAGGAGGAAGTGGAGGTGGAGAAACGAACGAACGAAAGAATCGGTCGACGAACGAAGAACCAAGCGACTGTACGAGTAAAACGTGGGAGAGCTCTGGTGCGGCTGTACGGAAACCGCTCTTCGAACACGAACCGCACAAACCACACACGCGTTCGGCGGCGGGAAGACAGAGCAGTGGGGGATATCGGGAAGGCCATTTTCGTTTGCCGGTGCGCGCGGTACGGTACGCACGACATAAAGACACGGCCGGCGCGAAGAGGAACGTGCGACTGACTCCACTATCGCACTCCGCGTCCGACGTTCGCGGCCCACGTTCACCGCTCCACGAGAGGGGACTGGGACTGAGATACGCTTTTGCGAGCGGAAGAGGTAACGATTCATTCGAAAACCGAGCCGACGACGTCATCATCATTACCTACGCGCGGTGCGTCGAATCTCCGCGAGTTTTTTTACGCGTTCGTATAAAGTCGTAGCGTCGCGACGCCAAGTCATACCACGCTCGACCGTGAACCGGTGGAAAGTTTGTCACCGTCATCATCGTCAAGGAACCATTTCGCCCGTTTGTTCGATAAAAGGCGAGACGACGTGAATACACACAGTGAACAACATAGCGCGGACTATAAGTGCAGTTTTCAACGAGCATCATCATCATCATCATCATCCCCATCATCAGCACCATCGTCGTCTAACGTCTTGTCCGGTGTCGCACGATACGAGAATTTGTAGTCGACCGAAATGCCAACGAGTTTGTTCAGCGAGATGGACCGCGGTACGAGCAGCGGCGGTGCCGTCATCTTCGAGGATCATCGCACCCTTCAGCTCGCCTTCGAGCTGTCGATGATCGGCATCCCGACGGAGGGCTCGACCGACGGCAACGGCAACGGCACCGCCAACGATCGGGATCCGCTGCAGACCGCGCCGACCGTCTTCGAGGAGGCGCGTTCCAAGAAGAGCCAGAACATGACCGAGTGCGTGCCGGTGCCCAGCAGCGAACACGTGGCGGAGATCGTCGGTCGACAGGGTAAGTGTGTGCCTGTGGTTAACCATCCGCTTGTAATTTTACGTCTCTCCGCGCCTTTTGTTTTTTTTTTCGTCCGGTGTTTCCTCGCCGCGCGCTTATCAACCTTGGACTTATCAACTTTGGCGCGGCCGCAAGACTCACGGTCGTTTAAGTCGAGAATCGAGATTCGCGGGATAGACAGATAAAACGGGCAAAATTGCGATCCTTGGGGGAAAAAAAAAGTTTGCTCGAGAGATAGACGTTGGAGTTTATTGGTCGTCGTAATTGCCTTTTCTCGGCGGTTAAACGACAACGATGGAGAGAAAGATCACCGCCGCCACTGGAACGACTCGAGGTCCCTTTGGTACTTTTGCTAAAAAATCGCGTCGCGACGTTACTTCTCTCTCTTCTTTTTCTCCTCTCTCTTTCTCTCATCCCCATCCTTTTGTACGTTCCGGTTGGTGGAGTCGCGCGCGATTATAGCACCACTGACAGTTCATTGGCACGGCGGTAAACGCGACGCACGCCGCGGGAAACTTGATACCGGCCACGATAGAGCAATTAAACCAATTTACGTACGCGAATTTCGTTTCGCGCGCGCGCGCGCGTGCGTCGTGGACCGGGCGGGAGATCCGGCAACTCTCCCCCTCTCCTCCCTCCTCGCCAACCCCTTCTCCCCCCCCCCCCGAACCGAACCTGTCGTAGGTCGCGGTCGTTACGGCGACTCCGTGCTTTTTGTCTCTTTCTTTTCCCTCCCCGTTCTCAACGACCGCGGCGGAAAAAATGGTGTTTACGATTTCTATCGCACATACGATACGATGCGACGCGCGATACGTCGCGCCCGTCCGCTCGCACGCGCGCGCGCGCTCGCTCGCTCGGTCGGTCGCTCGCTCGACTCATAAATAAAGGCGCGTTATATTCTGCATTTGCACGCTCGAGACCGATGACTCTCTCTCCTCGGTCTCAACCTTGAAGGAGACCGGTCACCGTTCTGCGAAACGGCTAATTCGTCTCGCCGCGCTTCTTTTATCCGTGCCGACGACGGGGGTTCCCCTCCCCTGCCCGCCTTTTTGTTCCGCCACGTTGCTTCCCGAGCAGAATGCCCGAAATACGTGGTTGCGTTTCCCAGCGCCGGAAATGCACCGGATCGCCCGACGTTAATTCCGAATTAGATAATAATAAAGAGACGATATCGTATCCCGTTATCGTCGATTAGGAAACGCTCCACGGCTCGTTGCATGATTTTAAATAAATCTTTCCGAAATGTCGAGCATCTGAGATTTTCGATAAGCTTTTATCGCTTTAGAGCTATTTGTTTCGGAGTCTCATTAACCTTCATAGCCGTGTGTGTTTACGATACACGTAACGCATGATCATCGTGTTTACACAATGTCGAAAACCCGGGAAGTATCGTACATCATTTACCGTGCCGAAAGGAGGTTATATATCGTTAATAGAAACGCACGTTCGTTTTATCTCTAATCGAGCGGCGCGTAAATGATAACACCTTCCTCGTTATTGAGCGATTAATCCCACTCGATCGGAACCAGGTGGGGTGGGGGAGTACGGGAAGAGGGGGACGAGGAAGCGCCCCCGTTGTCGAGCGACGACGTTGCGCGTCGCAAGTTCGTGCGCGTCTCGCGGAATGTTTAGAAATTCAAACAACGGTGCGGCACGTGGCCTTGCCATTTAAATCTTAACGTCTGTCAGCGGCGATTGTGCGCCGCTGAATAATCGGCGGCGATCAATACCGTTCGTAGAACCGACGTACGTACACCACGATCCCCGTCCGTCCGTGCATGCATTCGTGTACGCCGTGTATGTGTGCATACATATCTATATCGCGCGCGCCAAGTTTTGCGAACCGGCCGACGCGACGGGTGAGTCCGCGCGAGAGATGACAATCCGTGTCAGTCGATCGATCGTAGAATTTGAAGAATGAACCGAACGATACCCGCCGGGGCAATCGGATACAACCGTTTCCCGTTGCGTCGCGTCGCGTCGCGTCGGAGCGGAGAGCCAGGAAGGAAGCCGTACGGCTTCGCGGTCATCGTCACGACCGCAGCTGATATAATACTGCCCGTGCGACATAACGTTCTGGCTCGACGACGCTCGCTCGGGCCCGCGCTACGACGTTGCCCCGTGCTTGAAATTCCGCACCTCGCCTCGAGAGTAGTCGAGAGCCGCGGTAGCGTACGTGCTCGTTCCTCCCTTCCGCTGCCCCCCTCTCGGGGTCCCGCGCGCGCGCGTGCTTTTTTTAATCGACCGTTTTATCGCGTGAGAACTGTTCCCCCCTCCCCTTTTTCCCTCCTTTTCCCCCTTTCCTTCGTTCGAAAATGAACGCGGTTATCCGGATTTCGGTAAACGGAGTCCAGATTTTTCGGGCCATTTGATTCGATTTGAAACCTCGTCGCCAATTCTCTGGGCTCCTCGTGCGCGACGTCACGACCCGCGGCGTTTTCGCGCGGGCACGAAGCGTAAATCGTATATCGTGTTTTCACCCGTGACGCGCTCGCGCCGCGCGTCCGGCGCGGCACCGACCATTGATCGGCTCTCGTGAATGAGAACTGTGGCTCACGATTGCACGCCGACTCGAATTGCCGTGGTTTTTTTTCTTTTTTTTTTTTTACATATGCGAATCTTGAACGAGTACGATATATTAATAATCTTCTCAAGATTTCGCTAAAGATTCTATACGAACTAATTCCGTCGAACGGCGCCGCGAGTCGAGATTACGCGATTTGCGCGCGTATCCTGGCCTGGTTTCTCCAATACGAGATGCATTTGCGTCCCGTAGATAGAGCCGTGATTCCCTCGGCCGGGCGCGAAACCAGTTTGACATACCTGGCATGAATCATTGTGCAGCCGTTCCGTAACGCGAGAGTTCCCGAGTGCTCGCGTGGCCGAGCGGTCCGTCGACTCTATTCCGGCCGGTTTCGCGCTCGTTTCGACGTCGCCACGCCGCGAAACGCGATTCGTGACGATGACGTCTAATGAGTTTGATACGCCGTTCTATCGTGAGGATGTGGCTATTTGTTGATCATTTTCGTTCGCCGTTCGCCTCTCTTCTCCTCGCCTCCCTTCTCTTTCTCCTCGCTCTCGCATTATCTCTCTCGGGTCTCTGTCCCTAGCGATTGGCTGTTCTCTCTTTCTCTCTCTTTCTCTCGATTATATACATCTATCTTGTTCGCTCGCTCGCGGCTCTCCGCTGGACCGGAAGTTGTAATGAGTGCCTCTGTCGCCAGACTCGTAGCCTCGCGTCGCATCGTGGCCAACGATGACGTTACTTTGGAAATATCACGGCCGGTTATCCAGGTCGTTAGCTTGTGCACCGCGTGACTTCGAGAGGGAACTTGATTCACGAGGGGAATGAAAAAAAAAGGGAAAAATATGTAATTGCAGCTTCCAGGAATTGTGAGAGCGCAAGGAGCGATCGTGTGCTATCCTGACGTAGAATCGTCCACTAACTCCCCTTTTTCTTTAATTCCAGTACTTTTGCACGTCTTATTTTTCAATTGTTGTTTTCGATTGGGGGTAAACTTCGTGACTTTTAAAATTAAATTGTACTTATTACATGTGTACTTGCTTTTCTAGCTTATCGTTACTGTATTCTTCATCTTGAGACTTTCAGAAAATTCATGTAAGAATATTACCCTTTAAAAAGGTTAAATCTTTGTAGTGCCTTTTTATGTACTGTAAAACTCTTATTTGTAAATTCATATTTTCTCATGCATAACATTTCTCATGCACGGGTCGCTTTTAATCGTATACGTAATCTTGAGCTCATTTCCGTAGTCGTTCTAAATTTCGGACTACGAATGGAGAGACGTATATACGTTTGACAATCGTAAAAGCTGAGCGATAAAAGTTACCGAAAAATGCGCGCGCGGCGTACATACACGCGGTGTGTGCATAACGTTCCTCTTTCACAAAGCCCCGTGGAAATTCAAACATAAAACGAGGGAAAAAGAAAGAGAGAGAGAGAGAGAGATGGGAGGCGTGGCCTCCGCGCGTATTGTTCGCGAGCACGTGCCGCGTGGTCCGCGGTCTCTCGCGCGCGATCTGCGCCACGCCGCGCCGGTGCTAGGATTTTCCACAGAAACGGAAAGATTTGTGTCACCGATGAAATCGTGTTAATGGGATCCGCGTCCGTCGTTAACGCGTCCTCGTGAAAAGCAGATGGAGGAAGGAGACGCGGCACGGCGGCGCGGAAGGAGAGAAACGGGGAATCCTTCGTACGGTTTTTACGACTCGCCCGTGGACGTATAGACCCGAGAACAGTCTCTCCTCAGTAAGGTACACCGGTTACGTACGGTAATGTCTCTCTCTCTTTCTCTCACACATACACATACAATTGAAATTTGACCTCACGTGCTCCGACTAGGATCTACTCTCTCTTTTTTCGTGAAACATCGCAATCTTATCAGCGGAAATGTATTTTAGAGAAAATATTTGTCTAGTGACGTACGTGTGGAGTTACCGTTTTCATTTTCTATTTTAGATGGAATTTAGGTCGATGTCTTTGCCTGATTCATCTTGCTCGTATACACGTAGTACATGTATTCAGACAGATTTTGTTTTTTTTGTTTTGTATACGTTTTTATACGCATAGCGATAGCACGATAACGTTGAATGAATGACTAATGCGAGATAAGATTGTTACAATGTTTAATAAAACGGAAACCTCAGGCTTCCCTCGAACTACCTGACATTTGGCCGGCAGATGTACGCCACGAACTTCTCCGGGCTTCCCTTTGCTCCTTTTTTCGCATCGCCGTCTTCACTGGACATGCTAATTACCGAGAGAAAAGGGAAAACTTTCTTATGTTTTCTAGATAATCGCGCGACTAACGGCCGAGAACGCATCAGGGCTCGTTTGCATTAATGAAGAGTGCGCCGACAAGTGCTGCGTTCCGATTTCTTCAATCAACTTATTTTTACACGGCAAGAACGTGGCGGCCACTGTGTCAGTCGATCGACGTTCGGGGGCGGGGGGAGGGGGAAGGATTTAATCTGAATTA